AAGGGGGAAAGAATAGGGGCAAGAACCACTGCTAAGAGAGGCAAAGTTGGGCTGAAGAGATAAAAAAGGATAGACAAATCCTAACCCTACCTCACTGAGGGGCATAAGGGTTATAAAAACTAGTCCAGGTAATGGGGTCAGAATCCAGAATCTTTGTTGAGATCATACATAATATAGTCCACTGCACAGATGATTTCTTGTTCCATAATTTTCATGTTCACATTAGTTTTTAAAGTTTTGTTATTTAAGATCAGCTAAGGTCAGTGATGAAACATCCCAGGTGGTTAAAAGTGTTCTGCTACAGGCTTTTCTTTTGTATCTTTCTAGAAATGATGCCAAATCAGTGTCCATTCATTTTTTCATACAGGAAACACCATCTGTCCAATATAGACAGCAGAGGGGCAGTGTAAGCAGGTGATGGAGTGTATGATGTTGGTAGAGGAGCAGGTGAATGAACCCTGGGTATTATAATCTGTGTTGTTCATGACAGTGACAGCTTTATTAGGCTGGAGAAGTCCTTCCAGCCCATAGGTTTCAAGAAAACACGCAGAGTAATCAACTCTAATGTCCAGTAAATGCTTAGTTATAAGATCTGTCAGAAGCTCCGAGAGGAAGAAATGCTGGACATCATAATGAAGGAATGCATGTTTCTCAAGTGTTGATTGTGGAAGGTACCAAAATGCAAGAAACTGAAGGTTAGATTAAAAGGTAAATGGATGTTGATAGTTTGTGGACTGTGTCTGCCTGTGCAGTTGAGTTCATTACATTGTAGCAGAAAGCCCCCTTTTCCTCTTGCCTGCAGTTGCTCTCCCCTCCTTGGATATGTTTTTCCTCTTCTACCTTTTCTTCCTTCCTCTTTCTTTCACTTTAAGATAAGGAATTGTGTTTTAAAATTTGTATGTGTGCATTTTGTATCTCCCCTTGTATTTTTATCTATTTGTGTGCCATGGCATTACTTTTGTAGCTTATATTTTATACTCCTCACCTTTCAACTTTCAACTAAATGTGTTTAGTTTCAGAAGTAAGCTATACATTGTAACAATGTTAACAAGGGCAGGAGTCAAACTGCCCTTCCCTATATCAGGCGGGCCCCTGAAAGAGCGAGTGAATCAGTGATTGAATGCGTAACGCAGTAGCAGGCAGCAATTAACACCTAAGAAAACTGCAGATCAACCAACGGAAGAAATCAATAGAAGACAATGTAGCAACCGGGAAATCTCTGAACATCACTGTTCAAGGGCTAGAAGCCTTGATCTGAGTTAATCAATGCCGGGGACCAACTTTTGGGCTGAATATCTCCAGATCGGCCGCTCCCAGAGCCCTATTCAAAATTCATCAACAGACTCCCAAACCTGAACGCACATGCAGATGCCCCCTGGGGCTGACAGATGCCGTCCAGTAGCCACCGAGGGGGAAGTCCCACGAGGGTCAACGACCCCTGGATTGGACAAACCTGGAAACTGGGGAGTCACCAAAGTCTGCCAAGGACAGATAAAAAAGCAGTGAAAACTGACCCTTAGCGGTACCCTCTTGATCTCCAACTTGACCAGCACCCGACCTGTCCAGCCAGAAGGACCAGCCGGCGACCCCCTTCTGGGAGATAACACCACACTGAAAGAAGCCTCAACGGCAGACTCCAGTGCCTGTGGGATAGGTATACCTGACTCTTGTAGCTCACTACTGTGTGTGTGGGGGGGGGGGGGGGGACCAGCCCCAAGGTTTATGATTTAACTTCATTACAGTGTTTCAATCTGCCTAATAAACCAGAATTTTAAGGATCCCGAATTGGACATTTGTAGCCAACAACATTTAGTAAGTGGTCATCAGGGTCATGAAAAATATAGAGCCAATTTACCAAGTGTGTTGTTTCTCTTCTCTCCCCAACCCTAAACTAGAAATGGGAAGGAAAGCTTGTTCTGCTTCTAGCCACCAACAGTATGCCTTTGCTAGCACCTACTTTTACTCAGACAATGCTGCCAGAAGCATTTCTCCATTTTCCTGAGCAGCTGGGTCAGGAAAGAGGCTCCCCAA